GCAGGAGTAGGCCGTCCGGCCCTTCGAGCCTGCTCTGCCATTCAATAAGATCATGGCTGATCTTTTCGTGGACTCGGATCCACTTACCCACGTTCTCACCGTATCCCTTAATTCCTTTATTGTTCAAAAAAATATCTACCTTATCTTTAAAAACTTTTACTGAAGTAGCGTCAACTACTTCACTGGGCAAGGAATTCCATAGATTAACAACCCTCTGGGTGAAGAAGTTCCTTCTCAATTCAGTCCTAAATCTGCTCCCTCTAATCTTGAGGCTATGCCCTCTTGTCCTAGCTTCACCTGCCAGTGGAAATATCCTCTCTACTTCTATCTTATCTATTCCTTTCATAATTTTATATGTTTATATAAGATCCCCCCTCAATCTTCTGAATTCCAATGAATATAATCCCAATCTACTCAGTCTCTCCTCATAAGCCAACCCCCTCAACTCCGGAATCAACCTAGTGAACCTCCTTTGCACCCCCTCCAGTGCCAGTACATCCTTTCTCAAGTAAGGAGACCAAAACTGCACACAGTACTCCAGGTGTGGCCTCACCAGCACCTTGTACAGCTGCAACATAACCTCTCTGCTTTTAATCTCAATCCCTTTAGCAATGAAGGACAAAATTCCATTTGCCTTCCTAATTACTTGTTGTACCTGCAGACCTACCTTCTGTGATTCATGCACAAGGACACCAGGTCCCTCTGCATAGCAGCATGCTACAACTTTTTACCATTCAAGTAATAAATCTTTTTACTATTACTCCTACCAAAATGTATGACTTCACATTTATTTACATTGTATTCCATCTGCCAGACCTTTGCCCACTCACTCAATGCATCTATGTTCCTCTGCAAAGTTTCACAGTCCTCTGCAGACTTTGCTCTGCCACTAATCTTTGTGTCATCTGCAAACTTTGACACCCTACACGTGGTCCCCAACTCCAAATCATCTATATAAATTGTAAATAATTGCGGTCCCAACACCGATCCCTGAGGCACACCACTAGTCTCTGACTGCCAGCTAGAATAGTATTCATTTATCCCCACTCTTTGCTTCCTGTTAGTCAACCAATCCTCTATCCATGCTAATACTTTACCCTTAACGCCATGCATCCTTATCTTATGCAGTAGCCTCATGTGCGGCACCTTGTCGAAGGCCTTTTGGAAATCTAGGTACACCACATCCACTGGGTCCCCATTGTCCACCTTGCTCGTAATGTCTTCATAGAATTCCAAAAGATTTGTCAAGCGTGACCTGCCCTTCATGAACCCATGCTGCATCTGCCCAACAGGACAATTTCTATCAAGATGCCTTGCTATTTCTTCCTTGATAATAGACTGAAGCATCTTCGCTACTACAGAGGTTAAGCTAACCAGTCTATAATTCCCCATCTTTTGTCTACTTCCCTTTTTAAACAGTGGCGTCACATTTGCTGTTTTCCAATCTGCTGGGACTGCCCCAGAGTCCAGCAAATTTTGGAAAATTACCGCCAGTGCACCTGCTATTTCTCCCGCCATCTCTTTTAGTACCCTAGGATGCATTCCATCAGGGCCAGGAGACTTATCAATCCTTAGCTCCATTCGCTTGCCCAACACTACCTCTTCCGTAATAATGATTGTTTCCAGGTACTCATCTACCTTCGTCTCTTTGTCAATTACAAAATACCTGTTCAATGCCTCGGCCATTTCATCATATCCCATAACTAAATTCCCCTTCTCATCCTCTAAAGGGCCAACGTTTACTTTTGCCACTCTTTTTCGTTTTATATATTTATAGAAACTTTTGCTATCTGTCTTTATATTCTGTGCTAGTTTTTTCTCATGTTCTATCTTACTTTTCTTTATAGCTCTTTTTGTGGCTTTCTGTTGACCTTTAAAGTTTTCCCAATCTTCTAGTTTCATGCTGTTTTTGGCCACTTTGTATGCCCTCTCTTTCAATTTGATAGCCTCCCTTATTTCTTTAGACACCCATGGCAGATTACCCCTTTTCTTATAGTCCTTCCTTTTCACTGGAATATACTTTTGCTGAGTACTTTGAAAAATTACTTTGAAAGTCCTCCACTGCTCGTCAACTGTCCCACCATAAACTCTTTGTTTCCAGTCTACTTTAGCCAAGTCCTCCCTCATTCTATTGTAGTTCCCCTTGTTCAAGCACAGGACCATGGTATTGGATTTTATCTTCACACTCTCCATCTGTATTCTAAATTCAACCATACTGTGATCAACTCCTTCCAAGAGGATCCCTAACTATGAGGTCATTAATTATTCCTGTCTCATTACACAGGACCAGATCTAGGATAGCTTGCTCCCTCGTCGGTTCCATTACATACTGTTCAAGAAAACTATCACGAATACACTCAACAAACTCCTCCTCAAGGCTACCCTGACCGAGCTGGTTCGACTAATCTACATGTAGATTAAAATCCCCCATGATAATTGCCGTACCATTTTTATAGGCATTCGTTATTTCTTTGTTTATTGCCCGCCCCAATGTGATGTTATTATTTGGTGGCCTATAGACTACGCCTATCAGTGACTTTTTCCTCTTAGAATTTCTAATTTCCACCCAAATGGATTCAATCTCATTCTCCATAGAACCTATATCATCTCTCGGCACCGCCCTGATGTCGTCCTTGAATATCAGAGCTACACCACCTCCCTTACCTTCCTGTCTGTCCTTCCGAATAGTCTGGTACCCTTGGATATTTAACTCCCAGTCGTGACCATCCTGTAACCATGTCTCCGTAATGGCTACCAAATCATATTCATTCGCGATGATTTGTGCCGTTAACTCATCAACCTTGTTACGAATGCTACAAGCATTCAGGTAAAGTGCCTTTATGCTAGCTTTCTTACCCTCATGATTTCCAACATCTCTAATAATATCTCCTGAGTTATCCTTACTTTTTGCTTCTTTCATAGTCTGCCTTGAACTTAAACCCTCCTGCACACATGCTAACCTGCTGCTTACCTTTTTATTTACAATCATACTCCCTGTCGTTTTCCCTTTCCCTTCTCCCATTAACATGCAGGTTCAGTTGGCAGTTAAAAAGGCAAATGCAATGTTGGCATTTGTATCAAGAGGGCTGGAATACAAGAGATGTCCTGCTGAGGCTATATAAGGTTCCGGTTCGACCGGATTTGGAATATTGTGAGCAGTTTTGTGCCCCGTTGCGGTGGCGGGGGGAGGGGGTTCCAGTGGAAGTTCGCAAGAATGATCTCAGGGATGAAAGGCTTGTCATTTGAAAACTCTGGGTCTGTACTCGATGGAGGTTAGGAGGATAAGGGGTGAATCTGATTGAAACTTACAGAATACTGATAAGCCTGAATAGAGTGAAAATGGAGAAGATTTTTCCTCCAGTAGGAGACAGTAGGACCCAGGGTGAAGGGATGGCCCTTTAGAACTGAGATGAGGAGGAATTTCTTCAGCCAGAGAGTAGTGAGTCAGTGGAACTCATTGCTGCAGAGGGCTGTGGAGGCCAAATCATTAAGTGTATACTTGATTAGTAAAGGGGGGTCATTGGTTACAGGGAGAAGGCAGGAGAATGGGGTTGAGAAACCTATCAGCCATGATCAAATGGTGGAGCTGACTCGATCAACCAAATGGCCTAATTCTGCTCCTATATTTTAGTGTGTTAGGGAAATTAATAGGGCTAAAGGCTGGTACGTCTCCTGGACCCAATGGGTTGTGACCTCAGATTTCAAATGTAGCTACAGAGGTAGTGGACTATCTGGTAGTAGTCTTCCAAGGATCCTTAGGTTCAGGGAGTGTCACAGAGATTGGAAAATTGGCAGTGTAAATCCTTATTCAAAAAAAAGGGAGATAATAAACAGGTAGCTATCAACCAGTTGGCTTATGCCAGAAGGACATAATATTAGGGCATTTAGAAATATATACTATGATCAGGCAGAGTCAGCATGGCTTCATGAAGGGAATACAGTGCTTGACTAATGTATTGCAGTTCTTTGGGAAAGTAACAAGGAGGCTGGATAAAGGGGAACCAGTAGATGTAATATATTTGGATTTCCAATGGGTGTTTGATAAGGTACTATACATAAGACTACCCATAACAGTCCTAGCTATTGAATGTGGAATATTAGCATGGAAAGAGCATTGGCTAACTAACAGAAGTCAGTGATTTGGGATTAAGGGGGGCAACCTGTAACTAGTGGAGTACCGTAGGAATCAGTGCTGGGGCCACAATTATTTACAATATATATTAATGATTTGGATGAGGGAAGTGAATGTACTCTCACCAAATTTGCAGAACACGCAAAAATAGGTTGGAAGGCAAGTGAGGAGGATGACACAAAGAGTCTGCAGAGGGATAGGGACATGTTAATTGGGTGGGCAAAAATGTGAGGTTATGCATTTTGGCAGGAAGAATAGAAAAGCTGAATATTATTTATATGCGGAAAGACTGCAGAAAGCTGCAGCACAGAGGGATTTAGGGGTCGTTGTACACAAATCTCAAAAAGCTTACATCCAAGTTCAGCAGGTAATAGGGAAAGCAAATGGAACATTAACATTCATTCAAAGGGTATGGAGTATCAAAATAGGGAAATCTTATTTAAACTGTAGAAGGCACTAGTTAGACCGCAGCTGGAAGACTGTGAAGTTTTGTTATCTAAGGAAAGTTACACTGGCATTGGAGGCAGTGGATAGAAGATTCACATGGTTGGTTCCAGGTATGGAGGGACTGTCTTATGGGGAGAGGTTGAATAGGTTGGGCCTGTCGGGAATCGAGGGTTATGGGCAAAGGCAGGGAAGTGGAGTTGAGGATTATCAAATCCGCTATGACCTTATTAAATGATGGATCCAAATGGCCTACCTCTGCTCTTACATCTTAAGGTCTCGTAACTCCCTTCCTACGTTTAGAATCCTCCTCACAGGTAGTTGTTGAATGTCACCTTCACTCAGCTCTCTAACTCTACTCCTTCTCACTGCCGTCTCCCCAGCTCTCATTGGTGCCAGTTGTGATTTCTCTTTTCTTTAACAGAAAGTGAACTGTGTTCAATTCAATGAGGAATCAACAGTCATTGTTTCAGGTGAGTGCACGCCTTCCAGTAAGATCCAGACAGAGCAAACCTCCAGTCTGTGTGCACTTTGCTGCAATCTATCGCAACACAGCACAGCAAGTTTCACAATCTGGTAATTAGTATAATGGCTGCATGTAGTGGGTAGATGTCTGCCCGCCTGAGATTGCCCAGCAATGCTGATGTGTACTTAGATGCTGTTTGTTTCATGTTGTCCAACTTGATGAACTTGCATATTTGTGAGATATCAAACACTGTAATTCAAACAGTATTGACCACTGTGTCCTTCCAGCCTGTTGAATTGTTTCAGTCTCATTCTTTTTGCGTAATTCACTGAGAGTTGGCTGCGGTTGTAACATCCCCACTTATTGTCAGGCTGATTCTGTGTTAATGCTGCACTTTCCACCTAACCAGGTTTGGGGAGAAAGCATGAACAGGGAGCTGAGTTTGATGACCAGCCGTGATCAAATTGAACAGTGGAGTGGGCCAGATGGCCTACTCTTGCTATTTTCTATTTTGCTGTGTTTGCAGGCTCCATTGACACCTCGGTTCGATGCTGGGATTGTCGCTCACGGACTTCGCAGCCTATTCAAATCCTGGATGAAGCAAAGGATGGGATTTCCAGTGTGAAAGTTTCAGACCATGAAATTCTGTCAGGGTGAGTGAACAGGAGCATTTTTCTGAATGAGTCACGTGACCTGATCGATTTGCTGTGCAGCCTAACAGCTTCCTGTTCCTTTAGGTCTGTTGATGGGCGAGTTCGGAGGTACGACTTACGGATGGGACAACTCTTTGCAGATTTTATTGGAAGTAAGTGCTGACCAAAAGGGGCCATGTCAAATCTTAATGAGATGGAAATATAGCACATGAGCTCAGACGGATTGATCCTCTCAGTCCTGGTCTATATGTCTTAGACAGTCAGTGTAACTACAATGTTACTGAGTATCATCAATGCTACAAGAGTCACTGTCAGTACCAAGACAGTATGTGTCCTTATTACAGACAGACAGACTGTTTGTTTTTCTCTCTCTCAGGTCCAATAACGAGCGTGTGTTTCAGCAAAGATAGTCAGTGTACGTTGAGTTCGAGCCTGGACTCTACATTGCGTCTGTTAGATAAGGAGACTGGGGAGCTCCTTGGCGAGTAAGTGAAATTAGTCACATTCTGAGGTGGGAGAATCAAACTTCAACTCTCCAGCCGCCTCCTTCACCACCAATGCACCCTCCCCCAACCAAGGGGGGCATAGGCCCAACTTGCCCATTCCCCAGACCAAACCTACAAATGGTAGCTGGGCTGAGGGCACTTGAACCTGACCAGGAATTTGACTAGTCCAAACGGAATGCATGCATCTGCTAGGCTTATTGCTCCTCTGGTGTTGTACAGCCCCACCCCTCCCTGGGGGGAAAGGAATGTTACGCTGGTGTTGTACAACTCTCTCCCTGGGTAGGGGGGGAATGTTACGCTGGTGTTGTACAGCTCCCTCCCTGCCAGTGATAATCTGGCTGTGTATTTCGGCTGTGGCCAGGATTGAAGGGAACTGGCATCCTCCTCCCAAGGCAGTGAGAGGCCGAACACTCTCAGCACTGACCCCTCACCCTCCCTTCCTTCCGCAGGGAGACAGTGCTGCACCTCAAACGTGACACTGGTCCTGCTAGACACACTCTCTCAAGCTCAACAAAAAGAAAAACCACACAGATGATCATGTGGACAGAAGATTAAAGAATTTTCTATAAAGATTTATTTGGTTCCATGCAGTGTTGAATTTTCAGTTTTGGAGTGACTAACATTCTTCTGTTCCTGACTGATGTGTACCCCAGGCCATTAATCTATCCAGTTAAGACCCCGCCATTGCTCTCAGTGATTTCCTTGAGTCTATTGTTCATTAGAACATGGAATTAAACTTGTATCAGAATTTAACAACTTTACATGTGGTGAAAGGAAGGGGAGGCAGTTCCTCAGGCTTGATTGAATCCCTAGGGTGTGACTGAGCAAGATGTTTCCCTTCTCCCAGTCCCACAGTGGATTTAGTGCTAAAGGATGTCTGCTCGCCAGTGCTCACGGGACTGAATACTTCATAACCCAGCAGGAAGATAAAGCGAATGAACTGAATCCACTCCCACACTCTGAACTCAAGCTTCACTTTGTTTGAACAGGTATACAGGACACAGGAACACAGATTGCAAGCTGGACTGTTGCTTTAATGAATCTGACACACATGTAGTGAGCGGCTCAGAGGATGGGCTCGTGCATTTCTGGGATCTGATCGAGGTAAGCAAATGCACCACATCTGAAGACTTCCTCCTGACTAAGTCTGGTGCCAGCTCCTGGGGAGTCTGCAGGCAGGACGGAAGGCTGAGAGGACATTGGAAAGGAGTATGGATAGAGTAGATGGAGAGAAACACAGAAAATACTGGAGAATTCAAATCTCAACAGGAGTCGTACTGAAGTCTCCACAGATACTGCTAGACCTGCTGAGTTTGTGCAGTATTTTCTGTGTTTGTTTCAGGTTCCCAGCAATCCTAGAATTTTGCTCTTAACCTGTGGGTAGAAGGATTGAGAAACCGAGGACACAGACCGAAGCTAACTGGCAAAAGAAGCAATGCTAACATGAGAAATGTTTCCCCACACGAAGTGGTTAGGGTCTGGAATGGGCAACATTAGTGGAGGCAGCTTAATCAAGGCATTAAAGAGGGAATTGGATTATCTGAAAAGGAAGAAAGTGCAGAGTTATGGAAAAAAAGGAGGGGGGATAGCACTTGCTGCAATGCTAATCCACAGAGCCAGCACTGAGACAGGAGGCAGAATGGCATGCTGTGCTGTAACCGTTCTGTGGTTTGAGGAGTGATTCAGCTTGGATTGCAGTTGCTGCCCAGCCTACACTCACACAGAAGGAATGGTCATTGGTTAAAGTGCTGGAAAATGGCACTTGATGGTGCCTCAGTGAGTAGCACTTTCACTCGAGTCGTGGATTGATGTTGCATTTCAGAGATTGGAGCAGCTAATCCAGGCTGACAGGACAGTGCCTCATTCAGGGAGGGCTGCACAGTCAGAGCTCCTAACTCTGTGACTCAACAGTAAATAAGGCCCTGTCTACTCTCCATGGGGAATGTAACTGATTCCAAGGCATTATTTCAAGGAGCAGCAAGAGAATTCCAAAATATATCCTTTATCTAACATCACTAACAGCTTATCTTGGTGTTATCACAGTGCTGTCTTTGCGATGTTGCTGTGTGGACTGTTGGTTTCTGACAGTACAAGGCAGAGTTGTTTCAGGATGCGACAGGATGAAAAAGGGGTACAAATACAAGTTCTGTTTGACATGTTGTGATGTCTTGTGTTGTTTGCAGGGATCCTGCACACTCACCCTGTCTGTTGGGAAGGGTGTGGTACAGTCACTGAGCTACCATCCCATCCAGTGCTGTTTACTCACAGCCACTGAGGATACTGTCCAGGTCTGGGGAGATGACAGCGATGAGGCAACCACACAGAGCCCGTCTTGACCGTCACCAGAACAGGACCACCTGCTCTGTGTACTACCAACAAACACCGACCTTTACACAGCCGTCTCTGAGTCTCAATCAAAACAATAAAGGCACAGGCTGGTACTCATAACCATGAGAATAGTCAAGTTAATGTCTTTAACTACTCCACATCCAGCACTGAGAGTCTACTGTCCATGTACGTTTATTTTGTTGCGAATAAAATTATTCTATTTGAAAGTGGCTAAGGTTCACTGATTTGAGGTATTTGTGTTTGTAACATCAGGATTCTAAGTGAACAAAAGCATAGTCTCAACAGTTTCCAACTCAAAACCATTAATGTTTTATAATCACTATAAAACAATCAGAAACTTTGACTAACTGATTTTATTTGCATGCAGAAAGCAGTAGCCTCAGCTTCAAATAAATAAATGACCATTTCAGCAAATTCACTTGATCTGCAGATTCTCCCAATCAGCCGCCTACCTGAGATGCTCAGTAAGAGTGAGGGGACAGTGTTTTAGGAGTGGTCCAGCCAGCATCTGACAGCAAATCCCTCCTTCTCATGTCCCACCCAGTCTGCAGACGGCAAGCCAGTGCAGAATCAGTTTAGAATCATGGATTGCCTGTTGTTAGGTGAGCAGCTACTCATACGCAGTGAGTGGCGTCTTAACACTAGGACATGCCACAGATCAAACTCCACTGGCATAGCTACACTCAGGATGCAAGCTGAACCAAAGTCTGAACCCAATGATCCCAGAAATTTCCTGAATCAATTTTATGGAAGTCCTCCAGGTAGCACTGGCCATGTGTCCCTGATCTTAACACCCCCACCTCTGCCATTCCACCTCTCTCTCTGGCAAAGCTAAAGCAGACAGAACAGCACTACTTCAGCCACACCAGTTTCAAAGCAAACATTCACCTTTCCAAATCATTCAGCTCTTAGTGTGATCAGAGCAGAAGCCAATCTTTGGTGTTCACACATGACCCTCCCCCGACTCTCACTGTTCCTCCTCAACTTTCGCACTAGCAGCCCTCGACTCTCAACCGCACTCCACAAATTCCACACAGTGCAAATGAGGAAGCTGAGATTCGCAGCATGTTCCCAAGGCAGTAGCACTTAATTCCCATGAGAAAGTTCCGCAGGACAGACCACTAGCAGCATTCCAGTACTGCACCTGGAATATTCAGGGAGAGGAGGCCAGGGGCTTAAAGCATCTTTGACTGAGGGGAAAGTGCATCGAAGTTCCGAGCAAATGTTTCAGCCACTAGGAGAGGGAAGACAAGAGTAGCATCTGCACACACCTAGGAGAAATAGAGAGAAAAACACAATTAACTCAAAACGATCCCTTTCTAACAGCCACTCCCCTGCCATCCCTGCGCTAAACAGGCCACCCCCCACTCCACCAACCATGCAGCTGTCTGCAGCAGCAAATATAAAGTACAGCGTACATCCTGTGGAACTGGTAGCGCACAAAGTGCTGTGAGGTACAGTTAATTTCCTTGAGTTCACTGTAGGGGAATTAAAGTGACTTGAGTTAGGGTTATGTGGAGGGACGTAAACTCATGGTTGTACAGGAAGACCTGAATCTTCGCAACATCAGGCAGCCTCCCTGTAACAATGTCAAGAGTCAGCCTCTGTATTTAGCAGCCAGTACTGACAGCAATCTCAGGGGACATAGATACAGATGGAGAGAGAGATGTCTCCAGGTACTGTTTTTGTAATCAACCAAAAAACAGGAGAAACTCACTTTCACAGGTTTGGCATCCACCCGGATTTTACCCCAAGAAACAGCTTCATCTGGTCTGGCTCCAGAATCCGAGCCGTCAAATTCCTGACCCGTGTTCACGTAGACAGAATAGTCTGCTCCGTTTCTCTGTTTGTGTGGGGGAAACAAGAAAGGAATTAGCATGAATGAGAGGAGAAGGATTGGGCCCAGTGGAAGTGAAGATGGTTTCTATCGAGATTACTGACCATGAGGTTAGCGTTAGCAATGTGATGTTTGACCACACCACCCCCCAGAATGATCATTCCGGTTCTCTTGGCATACACTGCCTGGTTGTTGATTCTGCGGATGTCTGCACCAACAGGAAAGAAAAAGTAACATCATTGACTGCAGCCAACAGTGTCCATCTCTCGACCGGCTCCAAATACAGACCATACCCGTCCCTGCCTCTGGCACCAGTGTCCCCACCCCTCACTGAGTACCATTCCCACCCTCTGACACCCGATAGAGTACCCATCCCCTCCCCTAAAACAGAATACCGTCGCCAGGCTCGGACTGCCTTTCTCCAATGTGACGCGTTCATCTCCTCCACCAACCAAACATAGTCCTCTTCACTCTCTCTCTCTCTCACAAAATAAATCCAGTTCCCCTCCCACAGCACAGAACACAACCTCAACTTCTACTCTCCCACCCAAAGGATGGTTACAGGGAGCAGCTCCCTCCCCATTCCCGAGGGTCACAGGGAGCAGCTCCCTCCCCATTCCCGAGGGGCACAGGGAGTGTCTTCCCACTCACCTTCCACGATGTCGAGCACCAAACCAGGATTTCTGTATGAGTGGAAATAGATCATGTCCCCAATCGAGCCATCGGTCAGAGCTGGGCTGAAGACAGGAATGTTATTCTGTAACAAGGACAGGCGGGGAATAGGGATAAGGCCATGTGCAGGCAGATAGGTTTGTTCAGAATGGCATAACGGTCAGCACAGACATGATGGGCTGTTCCTGCCCTGTACTGTTCTACGTTCTCACACCAAGAGAAGTAATACAGGAGAGACGGACACGCTCCCCGACACACCGAAACACTGCACAGGACAAGATCGTTTGAGAAAAGAAAGCGAAAAGAAAGCTGCCAAAGCCAGAGTTTCCTACAGATGGGAAGGTCTGATGAGGGTAGGCCCACGAATAGAGACTGCCATTGGACTGGGGGCCCCTCAGCAGACGGAAGCTGGAACACTGGGATAAGAGTTTCAGAAGGAGACTAACACGGAGAAAATAGCAGTTAATATGATTGGTGACCAAAATGGTGAGTTTTAGAAAGGGTCTTAACAAAACACAGGGAAGTGTAGAGACAGAGAGGGTCAGAGCAGGAATTCCTGAACATGCACTAAGCAGCGAAAGGGACAAACATAGCTCCAAAGTCAGATACAGGGCATAGATACAGAGTGCAGATATCAAATGAGCCCAGAAACAGTGCGGTTAAGAGTGTGGATACTGAGCATGGACACAAAGTGAAACACGAAAGGAGAAAGTTTGGACAGATGAAGACAAAGTGGAGTCACAAAATTGATACCAATGAGGGACTTTTAAAAAAAAGCAGGATGAAAGTTTAAAAGTTCCAGGTAATTGTGGAACTGAAGCAAACGGAGGTCAGTGAGCAGGGAGTCAGAGTATAAGGCAGAATGCTCGGCAGGTCAGCTTTGGAATCATCACATCATGGATGAGCTGAAGCAGGGGCAGGGATTTTGTTTTTGTGTTGATGAGATTCTGGGATCAGAAGTACAGCTCAGGTCCAAACAATACTGGGAATGACAACAGTCTGGTCCAACCTAAGATGAGGGGTGAGGCTGGGTGGAATTGATTGTGGCGGAAGCTGAAGACACTGGCTTCCATCATCCCAATGCCAAACCAGGCAATTCTGACCTTTCCTGTCCAACAGCCTGTCAACACAACGTGAACACAGTAAGGTGGTTGGGAGGTCTCTATACTTATGGAAGTTAAACCCATGACTGTGAAGGATGTTTGCAAGGTGCAATACATAATAGGAGAGCAGGGATCAACGATAGATTATTTGATAGACTCCAGAAACAACAAAGTCAGGTCAGGACACTACAGTTAGATATGAAAGAGGGGAATCTGCTGCAAACAGTCCTAGGGATCTGGCCAATGGAGAAGCTTGTGGACAGCTGTATCAGAAGCAGCAGGGAAGATAATGCCTCTGGCCACCGTGATTTGATTTTTCATTTTTTTATGGCAGGAACAGAAATCTGATCGGCAGAGATGGGAAAGGAGTTGGAAGTTGAAGGATTCAGTGAGATTGAGATATGGGCTGAATACCACACCTTGGAAGTCCAATAATAAACTGACTCTGGATCATCAATCTCCTTCCCAAGTCGAGCGATCACCTTTGATGGAGTCCATTTCATCCCCTGCAACAAGAGAGACAATACAATCACTACATTCCATGACAAGAACCTGAACTGCAAAAGCCAGTACAGTATAAACTCATTCTAAGCTTCTGAGCAAATGAACAAATCAAGTCAGTTCATGGTCACTCATATTACAAGCTCCAACACTACGAAGCATTAATTTAACAAGAGGCCATTCGGCCCCTCACATCCATTCTCATTAACTCAGATCCTGTATCTGTATCTCAACTTTATTTCATCTCCTTTGTTCCACATTATGGATACCTGTTGCCAATAAAAACTTATTAATTTTTGTCTTGAACGTGTCAGTGCCTGCCCTGGGTCTTTGAGGTACCGAGCTCCTGAGCTACTCCAGCCTTTGTGTGACAATGTGCTTCTCAATTTGACTCTGACACAAACTTGCTCTCATGTCACTGTTTTGCCCCTTTATTCTGGACTGCTCCACCAGTAGAGTTTCTCTCCATCCACCCAATCAGAAACTGCTCAGTCAGATCACCCCTTTTTCTGTTAAAACTCAAAGAAATACAGAATAAGCCAGTCCCTCATCACTCAGCCCTTTACAGCCAGATTAGAGTATGCAGATCTAGCTGAAGGATAAAGGGTTGTCTCACCTGCTCATTCTGTTCTAAGACCATCTGATCCAGAATAGGCATCATCCAGTCCTCGAACTTGCAATAGTTTTCATTTGGAACCAGTAGATTTCCAATTCTGTTAAGTAATTACAAATAACTTACATCGAAAATCAAAAGAAAACATGCTTGTCAGGAACGAGTGAAGAAGAACTGGGTTAGACTGCAATGTTTCAGCTTTCAGAGTTGGGCTGGCCAAACCAAACAGCTATAGACTTTTATTTAACTTGCTCCTCCAAAACCACAGCCTCCGATGGTACAGATACTGATGGTTCAGGTTTCATGGGCACCAGACTTCTCCACAACCTTGTGCCAAGGGAAGATAATGGCACAATGAGACACTGGTCTACAATCAGGCAGCCCTGTGGCCTGAGGCAGCTTCAGAAATGGACCCAGATAACCCAGATTATCCAGGTCTCCAACCGACAGGAAAGAGTTGCCATGTCAGCTTTGTCCAGGAGCACGAAATGGCAATGAAGCTAAACTTTGCACACTGAACACAACAGCTTGGTGTGTGATTAGATCTTGTCTGCAGCACTGGTGCCAGTTCCTAATGACAAACACAGTAACCCAGGCAACATGCAATGAAATTCTGACAGACAGAGGCTAAAGGAGAGGATTAAAGCCCCTGAGAATGACTACAGTCAGTCAGTGGACTATGATATGAAGCCCGTCTTCCCAATGGGATTTCCCTGAGCCTGAGATTTCCTAATCCATGTCAGAATTGCAGCTTTAACAGATGGCTACCTTGTCCCAGGCTGGATACTACCTGTTTATGCCACTGTCACGAAGCTCCTTCCCCTTCAGACTGAAATCCCCCACAAAAGTGGGAGCAAGACACTTGATAAGATCTTCCTCAACACCTCCTGCTGTGGTGACCACACAATCAACCTGCAAAGAAGGTTATAGTGAGGGAAATACAGTGCAGCAATAGAACACTGGAAAACAGAGTTAACAAGCTACTTCTGTCCCCAAACATGGAGAATCGAGGCTCCGAAAAATCACTAATGACCAATGACAGTATTTCTGTTCCCGAACAAAATCCAGAGCATGTGTCCACAAATGGGATGGGCCCTGAGAGACTGGGAAATGCATGCATGTATGATTGTGTACCTACGTATTTGGGTGTGGGTGAGTATGTGTACCTGTGCATTTGGGTGTGGGTGAGTATGTGTACCTGTGCATTTGGGTTTGTGCCAGTAAGTGTGTCTATCTGCGTATTTGGGAGTGAGTATCTGTGCGTCTACCTGTGTATTTGGGAGTGAGTATCTGTGCGTCTACCTGTGTATTTGGG